GTGTGTGTGTGTGTGTGAGAGAGAGAGAGAGAGAGAGAGAGAGAGAGAGTGAGAGAGAGAGAGAGGTGGGCCCAACGCCTAGGAGGGTGTATTGAAAAGATGACGTAAGTCGTAGGGGTAAACTTAAAATTAATTGGTCAATTTAAAAGTTAGCATATAGGGGGTATTTTGAGAAGTCGAAGCTGTGCCTGGTAGGGGTATATTGCAAACGTGGTTATTCCAACCGACCCAAAAGGGTATTTTGCAAAAATTTTGAATTGTCAGAAGAAGAAGAAGATAAGCAATGACAAAAATTGCTCTTCACACGCAATAAAATAACTTCGTTGCATACATGCGTGTACACTGTTCATGCCGCGCACGCTTTCCCCTACATGTTTCAACCGGGTGCGCCCCGGTCTCATCAGGAGGCTTGCCACACACCCTTTGCCTCTCGGCCCACCGTTCCCTACCGCCCAGAGCTAGTGAGGGCTGATGCGGCCTTGCCCTCATCATATAGTGTGAGCCTTCCCTTGTACGGTCACTACCTGATTCTGTGCCCGACCTTGATTGGTTCATCCTTCCTACATAGGATTCGCCTGGCCTTACATAGTCGTCCAATCCTTCTCTAGCAGGTTTCGTACCATGCTGGACTGCTCTCCCACCCAGACCATTTCCGTGTGTGTCCAGATCCGTGTAGTACTTGGGAGTAATTTGAATTCGTAGCATTTTCTCGTCTGTAATCCGTTACCTTCCACCTAACTTCTCCACGTCCGACTAACCCTCCTTCCATGTCTTTATCCTGCACTCGTGTGTACACCTAATTGGGTCTCTCTCCCTTGCTCTACCCCAACTTTCCCCTCTATGGCCCGGTCTTGTGTGCATGGGTAAGCACTCCCTCACAAGAAGTTAACGGGGCATCTGGTTTTCAGGCCTTAAATTTCTGAAATTAGGGTTTTGGGCTCAAATTTCATGTTTTTTTGGAATTTCAAGTTTTTGCTATATATGCATTTTGATAGGGTTGCCGTATATGAAATTTGGGGTTATTTGGAGTTTTAGAATTTGCGCTATTAAGATTTCTGAAATTTTTGAAATTGGTCGAGTTTTTTTGGGGCCAAATTTCATGGAAATGCACCTTTGGCTTGATGTTTTATATGTTTTTAATTGCTTTTTTTAGGGTTTTTTTTTCTGTGATGGGGTCGTAAGAAGTGCACTCTATAGATTGGTGTGAAGTGTTGTTAAAATGATTGTCTGTTTTTTTTATAAATGGGCCTGAAAAATGGGTGCTCGGTAAACCTGCTCTCCACTCCCTGTGAAGGATTCAAATTCCTGCCTCGTAATATTCAATCGTTTTTGTGGTCTGCCCCGATGTCCTATTTCTTTTTAATTCCTATGAAGAACTCTAACTTCCCACCCCGTATTATTTTAATTCCTATTGTACCTAAGTCACCGGGAAACGGACAAATAATAACTAGCAGATGGCTGCTAACCCCTGCAGTCATGTCCAGACCCGTGTAGTACCTGGGAGTATCCGAATTTCGTAGCATTTCCCACCTGTAATCCGTTACTTTCCACCTAACTCCTCCACGTCCGACTGACCCTCCTCTCGTGTATTTACCCTGCGCTCATGCGTGTACCCCTAACTGGGTCTCTTTTCCCTGTCCTACTTCAACCCTTTCTCCTCTATGGTCCGCTACTGCGTATGTGCGTATGTACTACCTGTGAAAAACTTCAGATTCCCGCCTCGTAATAGTCAACCGCTTTGCGGCTTGTTCCGAAAACCTATTTATTTTTAATTCCTATTGTACCTGAATCTTTTGGGAACGGGAAAACGGGAAAAAACTGGGAAAACCGGTCCCCCGCAATCCTGTCTGCTTGTCCTATTTGTCACAGAAGTCCTAACCGCTTTTCCTAATTGTCACAGAAGTCCTAACAGTGCGATAGGAATAATATTATAAAATTAGGAAATGTTGTATTGCCAAAATAGGAAATAAAGAAATAAGAAATAAAAAATAAAAAATTACGTAAATGTTGTCTTGCCGAAATACGAAAACAGATCAGGGTGCGTCCTACCGCCGCCCCCCCAAAATTTTTCCGAGCCATGTACAGTGTAATATACAACTGCTCTTGCGGGTATTTCTATACTCCTATTATTATAAATTCTTACTTCATCCGACATATTCTACGGGCAGGCTGAGACACCGGGAATAATAGGTGCATCTCCCCTTCTGTCCTACTGCCCCCTACCTGGTTATCAGGCTATCACTCCTTCCTGCCTGCCCCGGGTACTAGTCCCTGTCTCTCTGTATTACCATGCAGTCGAGGAACATTCCCCATGCCTCCTTCTCTGCGATGGTACCCCCGACAAACTTCGTTAGGGAGGATGCAAAGAACGCCGGGGGGTACCCCCGACGTCTGAGCTCTTGCTTTACGGCCAGTACCGGCAAGATCACCGGACATCCGGCATTTGCCATGCCCCGTATCCTGTGGAAGGTACCGATGATCGCTCCGTACTTCATTCTCTTATCCGAGTACGAGAAATAGTCATGAAAACTTATAAACGACATCTCGTCGCTGATGATCGCATCTTGGTTTTCCATTTGAAGTATGATTGGGAATCTGACCGGACCGGCAGTCGCTGTGACCTTTGCTCCGATGAACTCAATTGTGTTGTGTCCATCGTCTGTTCTTGTTAGCGCGAGTTTCGCTCCATAGCAGGCTTCATAAGTCTTAATTATGTTATCGGTCACGTGGAGCGACTGCTCGCTCTCCCTGTTGATTAGTACCGCCGTAGTTACGTCATCCATGAGTCTGATGCTCTGTATTAGCGCCCTATCCTTTCCCAAGGAATGCATGAATTGAGTCTCATACTTGGCACAGAGAATGCATGCCAATGGTGGGCTTGAGTTCTTCCCCATTGGTATTCCCACGTTCTACTTGAGCATGATTCAAGTCTCTTGCAGGTTGTGTATGTGTGGTTCAAGTGTGGTTCAAGTGTGGTTCAAGTGTGGTTCAATTTGAACCTCGCATACCTCCGTATGAGCTGAAAAGGTATTTTCATGTAACCTTTCCCTCGGCTCTTGTGATTCATCACCACTTTTTTCCCTCTTTTGCTCACGCCGATCTTCGTTCTTCCTTTCGCCTCCCATTCTCGTAACAACCAGTCCACAACTTTCAGGATCGCGTCGTGTGGCAGAGATGTAAACATTTCCTTTATGTTGTAGCTTCGTAGTAGTGCCACCGCACTTCCTGTTTTGCCACTCCCCTTCTTCTCTGTTAGCAGGAGCCTCTTCTTCAACTGTGTCGTCACCCCCATGTTGAAGTGCATTGCATTCGACAGCCTCGCCAACAGTATGTTCAGTACTCTTGCCACTCTTCTACTCCCCGTCTTGGTCGGTTCTTTATTCGCCGGTGCGATCGACCACCATTTTCCAAGGTCCTTGTGCTTGGGGATCACGTATGCACACCCCATTTTGCCTTTTTGATTCCACATCGCTATCTCCTCAAGCCCTGCTCGCTTGTACTCTTCCCTTGCTTCTGCCATGATCTCCCTTTCCTCCCTGTTGTCTTGTTTGTAGGCGCCGTTGTAAATGAACATCTTCTTTAATGCATGTTGATACGTAGACGGGCACACCAGCACTAACTCCCCTGCAATTCTGTCCACCGGCATGATTACCAGATGTTGGTACATCCGCTTAACTTCTCTGACCTCTTCCTCCGTGATGGCCGAGCACTTCGGCCTCCGTTCTATATAACAGTTCTTCACTTGGATGTCTCTCTCATGGATCCCCGTGTGGTTTTCCAATGCAGCCTTCAGCGCCGTGTTGATCCTCTCCTTCAGTTCCTTCTCCCCCATTTGTCGAGTTGGCTTAGTAACATTTTTCCCGTTGCAGATCAGCCCACTCATCCCTAGTATCTCCGCGATTCTGGTGATGACGTGTCCCTCCCTCCTTACCAAGTTGTCCCCTGCGCACGTGCATTCTCCTTCCTTCCCTTTTGCCGCCGTCACGTGGTTACATAATATGCTCTCCACTATTCTATTCTTGCTCCACACTACATGCTGGGTTTGCAAGCTCGTCTCCGTTCTAAGTTCCTCCATCTCCGACCTCCTCCCTTGCCATTCCTCCAAGGTTTCCTCCCTGTGTGTGTGTGTGTGAGAGAGAGAGAGAGAGAGAGAGAGAG